GACCCGGTTACCTCCGAGACCGCCTTCTGCCGCAGATTCCCTCCCACAGACCGGTACGCTCCCACAGAGTGGGTCTCCTCAGGGTGCCGTCGGCCAAGCAATGTCGGCTGGCGACCCCCAGGGGGAGGGCCTTCTCTGTGGGTGCCCCTACCCTCTGGAATGAACTACCCCCCGAGATTCGGATGATTCCGGATCTCCTAACCTTCCGTCGCGCCCTCAAGACATGGCTCTTTCAGCAAGCGGACCTGACCTAGGGAAGATTTTATACTGGGTTTATTTTTAGGAATTTGGAAGACACAACTTTAAAATTTGGTTTAATTCGGTTTTATAGGGGGGGATTGTATATATGTTTTGGTTTTAAATATGTTGTGCGCCGCCCTGAGTCCCGCTGGGAGAAGGGCGGCATATAAATTAAATTAAATAAATAAAATAAATAAATAAATAAACACTTTAAAGATAAATTCGCTGTACTGCTGATTATCATATTGTGGAGGTAGAACCATTCAAACTGATAGAAATCCACAAATGTAAGAATGTAATGAAATTCTGATCGGCATGAACAATAGAGGTCCTATTTGGGAGGCATTATTCAGCTTCTTATAGTAATCGTTGAACTGCTTTACCCACGGGGATCATTAGACGTCACCTTTGGGGGGGGGAAATGACTTTGCACAGCATTGTATATTTGAAAAAAGCCAATCCAGTTGGTATGCAAATGTATTAATAAAAATCTGTTGGTGCCCCTAACAGCATATGTCTTCCAGGGCATGTATAGTATATGGAGGTTCTTGAAAGTAGAATGCAGTCATTCCCTTGGAAGCAAATTTCCATCCTTTCATGAGAATTACTGGATTCTGAATTGTTAATTCCTTCTCACTTAATTCATGCATTTCTGAAACTCTGCACCCTGAAATGCATGGGAATTGTGTGAAAGCATAAATATGATGAATGTTTGATTAAGACAAGGACGTTTCATCCTCCTGCACAGTTGCCATGTACACATCACGACGTTTCATTGATGTTTCCTATCAACGTTTAAGTCAGCGAAGCCGCTGTTTTTAAATGCTTTAATAATCATTTGTGCTGGCAATGGAGATTGGAGCTTGGAAAAAGAAGAGGCTCGTTTAAAAGCCTATTCCACTGCAATGAATCATTTAAATTACACTTAAAACAAGCATGCCGGAACGTTTGATTCTTCTTGCAATTGATAGAAATATACATTCATTTTTCCCCTGTCCTTCCCCAAAAGAGCCGGACATACCTGCTCGGCTTTTCCCAGTCTTCGTCATTGAAACTGCCCTGTGTAAAAGGGTAGCTCTTCCTGGAGTCTCCAGGAGGGCTGCTGCTTTGCTGCCTGCTGGATCTCCATTCATGGGGATGAAGCGCAATGCCCATAGCCTGAGGCAAGTAGGTACCTACTGGAATTGGGGAAGCGGGGAAGACAACAAGAAGAGGAAGGAGATTATTTGGTTGCTGTTGCTGAGAAAATTATACTGGATGAGAAGTCCATTGGTGTGTTTTCATTCATGGAACCGCTTCTTGTCAGCAAAACTGGGAATGAAGTGTGGGATTGATCTGGACAGTACAAAAAGCTCCTCTTGTCTCTTAAAGAAATGTTAGATATGCTGGATAGCTGTGAAAGTGAAGAAATGTTACAGCCAAGTCACACTGGACTTTCTCCAGCGAAGCATCTAGAGGAAGAGTCTACTAGTAATAATATTAATAATCTCAAAGTGATTAAAATCCTGCTCTGCTAATCAACGGACTTCCTGTGTCAATTACTATTGTTCACTTTGTTGTAATCTTATATTGCCTTAAAACAGGGGTCCTCAACCTTGGCAACTTTAAGACTTGTGGACTTCAACTCCCAGAATTCCTCAGCCAGGCTGGCTGAGGAATTCTGGGAGTTGAAGTCCACAAGTCTTAAAGTTGCCAAGGTTGAGGACCCCTGCCTTAAAAGCTTTCAATAACGGGATGGGAATCTGACCCTTTTGCCACTAGCCATACTAGTTGAGACTGTGGGTGGGTGGGGGAGTGGTCTACATCATGCCTGCCTTAAAAAAGCTGTGCCTTTTTCTGAGTTCATATGATAGTCACCCAGTGTCAAGAAAATAAGTGAAAGAAGGAAGCATTAATGCCCATTTTAAAATAATGTCCGTCCCTCGGTTCAATAATTTCTCCAAGATTGTTCTAAAGGATCAGAAAGTGATGGGAGGGTGGGAGAGGATGAAATAACTAGCTAGTCAAGCAGACAATTTCCTATATAATAATAATAATAATAATAATAATAATAATAATAATAATAATAATAATAATAATAATAATAATAATAATAATAATAATAATAATAATAATAATAATAATAATAATAATAATAATAATAATAAAAATTGGAAGGGACCTTGGAGGTCATCAAGTTCAAAACTTAAGTGAACTGATTTATTTAAGTATTCATCATTGCTAAAGAATGGATTTATTACTACCGGAAAGGTTTCAAAGAAACTTTCTCAAGATTGGAATGCAAAACCGGGGGGGAAAATGTGTAGATTTGGATGAATGGGAGACCAGAGACTCAAGACGATAATGAAAAAACAGGGAAGGAAAGTAGAGGGAGTACAAAAACAGAACGATGCAAGATGAGAATGTTTAAGGCTGTTAGTGAATGTTAGAAAGTTGTTGACAGAGGGGTCTGTGGAAAGGAAATTTTAAAAAAGTCAAGATGGTCACCATAACTATGCAATCAAAGCTCTGCTCTTTTATGCAATTACTTCAGTCACTCCTTTGTTCATTTTCGGCAGGATTTCAAAACCACAAAATATGCCTCATATTCTTTTCCAACAGTATTTCCCAAAAAATAATTCTGTGAAGTAGGAGCTGAAAGATAGTGAAGACCCTAGTGGGTTTCTATGGCTGGGAATGAACTTTTAACCTTCAGTTTGGGATCATTATATCCCATTATATCCCATGTCCTAACCACATCACCTTGATCAGTTTTCTTTAGCATTTCAATGGCTTGAAATGACTGGAGATAGGGAGACTGCCAAAACAATTGTTCATTCCATATACAAAGTGTATATCTTTGTAGAATCAATCATAACATCCATGAAAACAAGAGACAAGATTACCTCCCACCGGAAGATACGCTCCCACAGAGAGGCCCTCCTCAGGGTGCCGTCAACCAGACAGTGTCGGCTGGCGACACCCAGGGGGAGAGCCTTCTCTGTCGGAGCACCCACCCTCTGGAACGAGCTGCCCCCAGAGATCCGGGTGATTCCGGATCTCCCCTCCTTCCGCCGCGCCCTCAAGACTTGGTTATTTCAGCGGGCAGGACTGGCCTAGGGGTATTTTAATTGGTTTTAACAAAATTTTAGTAGAAGCGGCCTATTCAAATATTTATTTTTAATCATTTTTAAATTTTGTATGGTATTGTATTATTGTTTTTAAACTGGCTGTAAGCCGCCCTGAGTCCTCCGGGAGAAGGGTGGGGTATAAATTTAATAAAATGAAAATGAAAAATGAAATGAAAAGAAATTTGAAAAATGAAATAATAAGTCCAGATTGAATTTAATATTGTGATTTTCAAGCTTATCACTAAATCCCCAATTCCGATAGTCAACAAAGAATTCTATATCCTAAAATTATTCTGACCTGGTCAAATAGAAAAAAAAAGAGAAAGAGAACATTTCTTATCTTCTTGTAAAAAAAAACCCCAGAAAAAAAGAACATGCCAAATGTAGAATGCATTGTGTCATGTATTCATCATGCCTAGTATTAATATATGTTTATGTATGTATAACACATGTCTCTTGTTTTCATCATTCTCCCATCCTCCATCATTCCCATTTACCATCACATTGTCATGCTATCTGGAAACTATGAAAATTGTAGCCCAATGAAGTTGGAGAGGGCCAGGTACAGAAGACTAACCTTTGAAGGCATTTTAGTGAATGTTCTACTTGTACATTTGTGAAGTAAATATTATCTTTTGTTGAGCAACTTATTGAAATATATCCCATTGGCCAAGGCCATAGAAGAGAGTGTACACTGCTGCACGTGCAATTTTGTGTGAGGCCAGCACAAGCTGTTACTCTTGTATAAACTCTATAAGCTTAATATACTTCTTTCCAACATTACTGGGGCAAATGGTCACAATCGGTTAGAAATACAGGCATCTGATGTTTGTATGGTATTTTGATAACCTTTCTTTTAAGGTTTTAAGAGACCCACATCATAACAGTGTCAATGGTAATTACAGCAGGGATATAGTCAGTCTAGTTCAGGGGTAGGCAACCTTGGCTCTTTTATGACTCGAGGACTTCAACTCCCAGAATTCCTGAGCCAGCTATGGCTCAGGAATTCTGGGAGTTGAAGTCCACGAGTCATAAAAGAGCCAAGGTTGCCTACCCCTGGTCTAGTCCTACAGACACATTGGGTTTTTTTGAAAGACCCTCAAAAATCCATAACATAGTTGTAGGATACAAATATAAGAAATGAACTACAATAAAAGGTGTGCACTGACTTACATATTCACACAAAGGAACAGGAAAGTCAACTTACCTTGGCTTCCATAGCCTGTGTCAATACCCGAACCGTCCCAGGATTCCATAGCACTGTCCACACTAGGGATTGTGGTGGAATACACCTCGGAGAGCTTGCTAGTTTTCTGGGAGTCAGCCAGATCATCCTCAAGGTCACTAACCTCATTCATATTCCCAGATTTTTGAGGAAAAGTCCCTGGAATCCAAAGAAAGATGCACGTGGAGGCACATGAGTTAGTGATATTCCACAAGTGGTTTGGTGTCTTGTACATTGTATACTATTATGACAACGGACTAATGTGCATAAGCTTCACAGGATGTGGGCCTAATGTCGCGTCTCACAGATGAAACAGGGTTGCAGTAAGATCAAGGAGCTTTTCCTTTTTTCTTAACTTTTTGGCCTCAACCTGTGTGCCATAATTGATAAGAAATGCACAAACAGCACTTTAGAGGTTTTTAAAAATGCAGATGTCTGCTGCCAATATGACTGTAAGTACATTTTTATAATTAAGTTTGAGAGAAATCAACTAGAAACTTGTTTTCCTTGTTACTTTCTGGGAGGAAGCTTCGTGGTATCCGAAGCAGAACATCCAGATTCAGTCACAGTTTTGTTCCACACAGTATTAACCTTGTGAACTCTAAAGCTTCCTCCTTCCGTTATGTATTCAAGATCGACAGTGATTAATATATATGTTACTTATATGTAAGGGTATAGGTCTATACATACGTTGTATATAGTTATGTTTAAATGTGTGTTATGTATGTGTACACTTTGAGAGCAAGCAACTAAATTTCATTTTTAATGTGTGCTATTGTGCCCACAGTAAAAAAATGACAATAAAGATTTCCAAAGCGCCTGAAGGCAGGACAAGAAGCAACGGATGGAAACTAATCAAAGAGAGAAGCAATCTAGAACTAAGGAGAAACTTCCTGACAGTTAGAACAATTAACCAGTGGAACAACCTGCCTCCAGAAGCGGTGAATGCTCCAACACTGGAAGTTTTTAAGAAGAAACTGGACAGCCATTTATCCGAAATGGTGTAGGGTTTCCTGCCTGAGCAGGGGGTTGGACTAGATGACCTCCACGGTCCCTTCCAACTTTTTTTTATTGTTGTTGTTGTTGTTGTTGTTATTATTATTATTATTATTATTATTATTATTATTATTATTATTATTATTATTATTATTATTATTATTATTATTATTATTATTATTATTATTATTTGTTTGTCTGTCTGTCTGTCTGTCTGTCTGTCTGTCTGTCTACTTATTTCTAGGTAAACAATTTTTGCATTTGATGATGGTATTTCTGAACATTTAAATTAACATCATCTGGACAATTTGTTTTTACCTTAGAACCATTTCCAAGCAAAAAGACAAGTATAAATTTGTTATGAGGATGGATGAAGTTGCTTACGGTAACTCTACTGAAATGGCACTGAAAATTCCAATTTGGGATACTTCTGAAGTTGCTTGAGAACACCTGATTTTAAAGAGGTGCTGTCTGAGAGTTTTTAAGAGGTGAAATGGAATTCTGTAAACTTCAGCAAGACTTTGTGTTGGCCTTGTTCATTTCATGGCTGCAAATGGGGTTCTGGAGGGCTGTTCACCAATGCTCTGGAGATACAGGGTTCTAGATCGGCTGCCTATTAGGAGCAGATATGAAGACTAGAAGCCATGTTTTAAATAAATGTTTCTTTTCTTTTCTACTTTTTTTCCTTTCTCTATTCCTTCCTTATCTATTCACTATTTTACTTTATTTCTTTTCTGAAATTTGTATTGTTGTTGTTTTAAAAAAATCTCTTTTATAAAAACTGTAAGGGAGGGAGAGAGAGAGAACATGCACGCCCCAGTTTGGTGTAGCCATTAAGGTATCAGGCTAGAGACCAGGAAATTGTAAGTTCTAGTCATGCCTTAGGCACAAAGCTAGCTGGGTGACCTTGGGTTTTCTCTCAGCACTAGAAAGGATGCAATGGCGAACCGCTTGCCAACTACTGGGGCATTATGAAGTCAGAAAAAAGATACTCTCTACAGAATTTGACATGTGATATTTGAGCATCAGATCTGACAGGGAAGGAGGCCTGTTCCTGACTTTTTCTACAACTCAGAAACTTTTTTGGTAATATAATGCTGGATCAAAATAGGGGTGCTTGCTAGGTTTTGAAGAAGAGAGGAAAATGTTATACCAAAAGAAAAAAACCCAATTTCTTTGGCTTTTTACATTAGAATTGAAATGCATACATGCACACTATATGCAAATGATATAGCTTAGCACTTAGTCGGCTTCTTAAAATGAGAATCTGAAGCAACTGTATAATGATGACCTCAATCAGTGGATCACTGCTGCGCTGTGCATCCCCCCCTCCTTGTTTTAAATAAATCTTTCAAGGAGCTGCTTTTTCTTTTAAATAAGTGGCCCTCTTAAAGGCTTCAATAAGGAACAGCAGTTTTAATACTATTCAAACAAAAGATGTAGTGCATTGAGCCATTGAACATGCATTTTGCAAAGTTCCACCAATGTTATCTCATTGATCTGAATTGTCTTTTACCACTCATCAAAACAAAAAAAATATGCATTTTCTTTACGGTTACAAAATACACTGAATGACATTATGTCTCTTCTAAAGAACATTAGAATAACTTGGCTGAGATGGGCGGCTATAGAAATTGAATAACTAAATAAATTTAAGATAAGAAAACTTGTGTGAGAGGAAAACATTGCATTGCACTTTCTTTTAAAGGGAGTGTAGAGTTCAGAGACAGTGTAAAGTGTGAAATTCAGAGAAAAAAAGGCCTCTTTCTAAACTTTTCTCTGCATCCTTATGAGACAGGCATATAGGTAGTCCTTGACGTATGACCACAATTGAGCCCGAAATGTCTGTTCCTAAGTGAAACATTTGTTAAGTGAGTTTTTTCCCCATTTTACGACCTCTCTTGTCACAGTTGTTAAGTGAATCACTGCACTTGTTAAATTAGTAACACGGTTAAGTGAATCATAAGTCAGTTTTTTCAGCGATGTTGTTAACTTTGAATGGTCACTAAACAAAGTGTTATAAGTCAAGGAGTACCTGTAATTCAGAGCAATATTCATTTAAATTAATTAATTAAATAAATTAAAAGCTTACTTTCGGTTTGCTTTTTGATTTTTAGTGTTACTGTCTCTCCAGCCATTTGGAGCAGATGAATGGCTTCGCTCAGGGGCTTCCCTTTAAGGCTGACATTATTGATAGCTAATATCCGATCTCCTATGTGGATGGCTCCAGTTCTAAGGAAAAAGTAAAGGAAACTTCAGCTGTGATGCATGGCAGCAATTTCATTTAAAAATCCATCCATCTACCATGAATTATAAGACAGAGAATACTACGGACATCCGAAGAAAAATATGAAAAAAAAATCCATAACTATGTATAGATTTCCATCATTCATCAATTCTGTGATTTATATTGGGAAGAGAAATTCTATTGTGTACATATTCTTACAATTCACATTAATAAAACAATAACCAAGGAATGACCCAATCATTTGATATCATAAATGAAATTAGTCAAAATCCTATTACAAGTGATCTTAACCTGAAGATTTTTTGGAGGTGGGGCATATCTTAAGAAGAATGTAGAATTGGATGAAATGTCAAGATCTCATAATGGTTCGGCCATTTTTTATTTTTAAAATGGCTGCAAATTGAGTTTTAGGATACTTGGGATGGGGGTAAAGGCTACTGTGACTGTAGAGCAGGGGTCTTCAAACTTGGCTCTTTTATGACTTGTGGACCTCAACTCCCAGAATTCCTCAGCCAGGCATGCTGGCTGAGGAATTCTGGGAGTTGAAGTCCACAAGTCATAAAAGGGCCAAGTCTGAAGACTCCTGCTGTAGAGGGTAAGGAAGATTGCCTTGATGGAGATATGCAAGATCCATTGCCTAGGCAATTGAAGATGGGAGTGGAAAAAGGGACCCATATGATGTTTGGAACATTCAGATCATATTCAGAAATGACTCGGGAAATCATCACCCTATTTCACTGGAGTATAAGGGGAAGACGTATATCACAATCAGACTTGCAGAATTCTTTTATTATAGCTAAACTCAATAAAGTACAATTATGATTGTATGTGGATTTCATTTTCTACTGGGCCTGATGGTGACCTTGGAGAAGCTATCCAGAAGCCATTAAGACAACAACAGGTGCAGAAGCATGTGTTGAGTCCAGAGAGGCAAAACAATACTCAAAGGGACTCATTCTGTCTCCCACTGATTCCTGTGATATTAGAGAAGGGAAGGAAAAACACAGGCAGGCTTGTAAATGTCTATTATGATAACTTTTATCAATAAAGTATTGTTCTAGTTTCCTTCTGGAGTCAGTTTTTTAATTTGGCAGTGTTTCTCGACCTGAGCAATTTTAAGAGGGGTGGGAGTTGAAGTCCACCCCTCTTAAAATTGTTCAGGTTGAGAAACACTTATCTATGGAATAGGTTTGACAGTAACTAACTCTTACAATATAGATTCCACTCACTTCTGGACAGCTTTTACTGGATAGCAGCAAGAGAAAAAAATGTTCCCTTCCATTTGCCTTTAGATGTGTTCTCAGTCAGAAATGGAAAAAGAATAGTTAAATAACAGTGGTTGCTTAGGTATATTGCATCAATTCCGCCCCCCCTAGGATCTTTCCTCCTATATTTATGAAACACACAGGAATTTAGGTATATATGCTGGTCTAAGACTGTAATAAAATTGCTTTATTGGCTTAAGTATTTCCTCCTGCATTGTCTTTTATGGCTAATGATTTTTATTGAAAGCATGTACAAACAAAAGTACACCATTTGTTTTCTGCTACAGAAAACGAAAGCTTTGTGCCCTGACACGCAATTAATATTCCAAATACCATCTGTGGACAATTTCGTATTATATTCCAACAGTTAAAAGGTTTGGAATGGGTTTTGGGGGGGAGAGGGGAGTTAGTACCATACAGTACTGCATATTAATTTCATAACTAACCAATAGAGGTCACTGTGGCTCAATCAAATAGCAAAACAAAGCTATTCAATAGAGCAGTGTGTAATCAAAAACACACTTTTATTTTACCCTTACTAGGTGGTGAACTTGAAGTGAAAAGCTCAATTAATCATAAGACTTTGAAGGGAAATTAAAATTTGGATGCCATCTTCTTCCATCAAGACGACGCTATAGGGCATTGTGCAACAGAACAATTAGACATAAGTTTAGTTTTTCCCCCCACGCCATCACTCTGCTTAACAACTAATTCCTATAACACCGTCAAACTACTTAGTAAAGCTGTATTACTATTATTCTCCTCATCTTTCCTATTACCTACCTCCTTATCTTCTTATGACTATAATTTGTTGCTTGTAACTTACAATTTATATTGTTTTATTTAATATCCTAGTATGATTTATATTGTTGCTTAGCTAGTATCCTATGACTATCACTAAATGTTGCATCTTATGATTTATGAAGGATTGTATTTTATGATTTATGAAGAATGTATTTTTATGTTGTCTATAATCATAATCTATCACTATTACTTGTATGTACAAGTAATGCACCAGAGCTTATGCACCAAGCTTACTCTGGTGCAAGTAATGCACCAGAGTAATGCACCAAGCTTATGCACCAGAGACAAATTCCTTGTGTGCCCAAACACACTTGGTCAATAAAGAATTCTTAATTCTTCTTAAATCTTAACTTACTTTCTTGGCTCCAATGCCAAAGAAATCCTGGCTACAGGATGACATAAATACCATAGGTGGAGTGGGAATATTGCAATAACTGCATTGTTAATGGTCTACCAGAAGATGGCACTGTTGGCTCAGAAAGATAACAGAAGCCTCTCAAGAATTAAGTTTGGAATCATCAGATCCTTAACAAATTCAAAAAGGCAAGGTAGAGATTCAGCCTTTATAAACCATGAACAATTATCAACATTTATTAGCTTTGTAGCATCCTAGGAATTCTGACTAAGCCCCTCAACTGAATTTCAGGACAAAATTACTTGCTGTGTTAAGGGAAATATTTTATATTTTTCTACCGACCAGTTTCTTATCTCATTTCTGTTAGCAATTGTGGAAGTCTGGCCTGGCCAGCACCTATAGAAATGAGGCAAAGAACTCTACAGAGAAGTGCTTTGGAATATGTCCCCCTAACCCAGCTTCAGTTTTACTGAGAATATAGGTATGCTGAGGATATATCATAGGAAAAAAATGGCAGATCTGTGTCCAAGGGACATCCTCTACTACAGGGGTCCCCAACCCCCGGTCCATGGCCCAGTATCGGTCCATTGGGAATTGGACGGCACAAGTAGGCAAGTGTGTGAGCACATGAAACTCCATTTGTGCAAGTGGACAGCACGAATGCATGAAACCATCTCCTTTCTTCCCCCCTATTCCCACCACTCATGGTCTACAGAGCTGGAAAGGTTGGGGACTGTTGCTCTAGTGTATCTTTCCTATGTCTGTCTGTCTGTCATCACATTTTTCAACTGCTCACAGAGGAGGGACTCTTGATGGCATCTAGATAAATCACCTCTAGACAGGCCAGCTAGTAAAGCAGTCTAACAGCTGGACCATTGTAATGTTATCCTTACAATAATCTTAACATTATATTGTAAACTAAGATCTGCAATATTACCATCACCCCTCCCCCCCAAAAGAAAGCAATCCATTTCCTCATATTTTGAATCCCCCCTTCCGCCTTATGTTATTTTGCAAATCTGAAACATTGATGTGACTTAGGTGGCCACACTAAAAAGTTATGTGGTCTCTAGGAGTTGAAAATGATTTTGATGGTTCATGACTAATCAATCAATCAATTATGTGTGGGTGTATGGAAGTAATTTCTTAAGGTTTTGCTTTGTTTTTAGAATGGCAGTGCTGATGTTCCAACTGCCAAGCTATAAAGATAGATTTAAGTCTAAATTCCACTGAGTTCAATGTTGAGGAATGCCTATATAAGACTATATGTGTCTAATCCTGAGCACCAGAACAAATAACAGGTAATCCAAGCCAATTTAGGAGGAATATCTTCGAATGTTAAAAAACAACAATGGTATTTTTTTTTCTTTGGTAAAGTTTCTCATGTGGGCTTGAATATTAATCTGACTTTTAATTATGTTTAGGATTGCAAAGCATGTATTAAATAAATCTTTGGACACTGGTCATTTTTCATTCTCTTTCTTTCTTCTTCCAGTTTTGTCTTCCAATCTGCCAGGATACAAGATTTATTTGAGGAAAAGCAGCAAACAAGAAAGATAAAGCAACTGAACCTTTCAAATATTAAATTAAATTAATTTCCCTGGTACACATATTTACATAAAACTAACTGATGTCCATAACACTATCAATAAAGTAATGATGCCTGTGCTATCCAAGAAGCTGAATGTTCAGAAAAAAACTCTGTCAGATGGTCTTGTTTTTCAGATCATTCAATGGAAGTGAGCAGGAGCGAACCAGCCTAGAAATAAGGAGAAATGTTCTGACAGTTAGAACAATTAACGGTTTGCGTTAACTGTTATGGGTGCTCCATCACTGGAGGTTTTTAAGAAGAGATTGGACAGCCATTTGTCTGGAATGGTATGGGCTTTCCTGCTTGAGCAAGGGGCTGGACTAGAAGACCTCCAAGGTCCCTTCCAACTCTGTTAATCTGTTAAGATTCCTTCTTTGGAAGCTGAATGCCTGCAGTGACACCTCAGGCCTCTGACTCTAAGGTTGCAAATTGCAACTTACCTTTCTGCCAGTCCTCGTTTTGTCAAGCCTGAAATGACAATGGGGTCAAAAGGTTCCTCCGTGCCTGAAATAGTGATTCCCAGGGGCCCACCATATCTCTTCAATTCCACTGTGTAGATGATAGCCCCAGTGGTTTCTTGCTCATCTGTTAAAAGGAACAAAGAGGCTGAATAATCACGAATGAAGGCAAATAAAGGCTGAATAACGATGATAGAAGCCATCGAAAGGCCAAGCTCAGAAGACGTTCCAGCCAATCACAAAGAAACTTGCAGCCCTCTGAATCTTTTTGAAGGGGCCTGTTTGTATATAGGAAGCGTGTGAATATGCAAGCATATTAATTAACAATATTGATTCACAATCTGTCAACCTCATTAGTCTTCGAAAGGATCTTTTTTTTTTGTCAACAGATTAATTCAGAGTTTTTGTACCAGAGTTATCCTCATCCTTCCTGATCTTCAATTTGACAAGTTCTTCACACTGTTTTAAAATCTGCACTGCGTCTTCCATTGAGCAATTGTCAAGTCGGATATTATCAATAGCTAACAGCTTGTCTCCGGGCTCCAAGGTGCCAGTCCTACATACAAAGAAAAAAAACAAATCTTTTAGAAAACATTCTAAATAGTGTTAACATTTGTTCTCCTCAAGTGCTAACAGTGTTGGTGATATGATGAAATAAGTGTTGGGCAAACAAAATAATTCATATTTTTTTAAGTAGCTGTCTTTCAATACGATGGAAAAAAATTACTTTAGAAAATGTTTTAAAATAACGAGAATCCCAGAAGAATTCTCTTAGTCTCCTTGCGCTCAGTTTAACCACAAAGAGGTCAAGAGGTGTATTTAATTATATTGTCTTCTGTTGCACAAACATTTCTCCAGATTTCTGCTGCCTCTTCATGCTTCAGATGAGGTTCCAAAGGAAGACTTTAAAGCAGGACCCTTTCTTTTAGGGTGCTTCAGATTGGGAGCCAAAAGGCTTTAGACCCAGTCTTTCTCAATCCCAGCAACTTTCAGATGGCTGGACTTCAACTCCCAGAATTCCTCATCCAGCAATACTGAAACAATGCTTTAGAACAGGGGTAGTCAACCTTGGCTCTTTTATGACTCGTGGACTTCAACTCCCAGAATTCCTGAGCCAGCTGTGGTGGCTCAGGAATTCTGGGAGTTGAAGTCCACGAGTGATAAAAGAGCCAAGGTTGACTACCCCTGCTTTAGAATGATTCAAAGGGAAATTGAAACATCCACCCCGTCACCTTGGAGCATCTTCAGCAACAAAGGAAACTCGAATATTATAAAGATGAATTTAAAAGAAATTCCCAGACACCTTGAGAAGAAGGTAGAAAAAGAGATACTTCTTTCTAAAGGGAAGAACATTTCCAAGGCCTATTTTGGTATAGGATTAGTCTGAACAAGTATGTGCCAGCTTCATGTGTATTAATTGGGCTCAATGTCATATTACAATCCAGTATACCTATGAAAGATGGTTGAAGTCATAGAGAGATATTACAGATCTTATGAACAAATTCATTGCTATTGTTTATTAGGATTCAGAAATAAAACAAACAAACAAATAAACAGGTAATTCACTCACCTATGTGCTACACTCCCCTTCTTGATATCAGAGATAATTAAAGGCTCACCAGACTTTCTGCTTGCTGTTTAGGAAGAGATACATGCAGACACTCAATCCAGGCATTTAGAGTCCATGATAATCTTCAGAATTATCTATTACCAGCCTTCCACAACCAGACATTCCTGCAGAATTCCCAGTCATTATGGCCATTAGAGCACAACAGGCTGCAGAAGACTATATAATCCAAACATTATATAAAGTAGGAAGCAACATAATAGATTTCCCTTTTTCAATTTAGCTTTAATAAAAAAACATCTAAGCCCAAGCTACTAATGTTTAATAAAATTCATAAAGCAAAGATATTTGTTATGCTTTGAGAACTGCACTCAAGGTTATATTTTAGCATCTTTTTCCCCACAAAAGAGATAGTAAACTTTGGTTGCAGCATATTGCAAATTATGGTTGAAGAAATGGATTTTTCGTTTATTAAAACAATGAACCATATAGACACAGTCATGGTCTGGAAGAAATGAAAGATAACCAAGAAAAAATATGACAAAGGTCTTTTTTAAAGAACCAAATATTCAGTCCTCTATATAGAATATGTCTATGTAGAATTCACTTATATTGTGACTGCTGGAGAAAATGAGGCAATGGATATTTTGAAGAAAGCACACCCTATCCATCAGAAGTATATGAGTGAGGTTGGTACAGTGCTTTGCTTTATGGGAGCATCACAACAGTTGAAAGAGGCAACATATTAGGGCAAAGAGAAAGAAAGAAAGAAAGAAAGAAAGAAAGAAAGAAAGAAAGGAAGGAAGGAAGGAAGGAAGGAAGGAAGGAAGGAAGGAAGGAAGGAAGGAAGGAAGGAAGGAAGGAAGGAAGGAAGGAAGGAAGGAAGATCAGAATAACAGAGTTAGAAGGGACTCTGGAGGTCTTCTAGTCCAACTCCCTGCTCAAGCAAGAAACCCTATACCATTTCAGACAAATGGCTGTCCAATCTCTTCTTCAAAACCTCCAATGCTGGAGCACCCAAAACTTCTGAAGGCAAATCGTTCCACTATTTAATTGTTCTGTCAGGACATTTCTCCTTAGTTCTAGATTGCTTCTCTCCTTGATTCGTTTCCATCTATTGCTTCTTGTCCTGCCTTCAGGTGTGTTGGAGAATAGGTTGACCTTCTCTTCTTTGTGGCAGCCCCTGAGATATTGGAACCCTGCTATCATGTCACTCCTAGTCATTCTTTTCATTAAATTAGACACACCCAATTCCTGCAACTGTTCTTCATATGTTTTAGCCTCCAGTCCCCTAATCATCTTTATTGCTCTTCTCTGTACTCTTTCTAGAGTCTCAGCATCTTTTTTACATCGTGGCAACCAAAACTGGATGAAATATTCCAAGTGTGGTCTTACTAAGGCATTGTAAAGTGATATTAACACTTCACGTTATCCTGATTCTATCCTTTTTAATACAGTTAATGCAGCCTAGGACTGTGTTGACTCCAGATCATTCTGGAGAAGGTCTATCTATATAACTGTTAAGAGTCAATACTGATTTGATAGCAAATAATCAAGCAAGCAAGCAAGCAAGCAAGCAAGCAAGCAAGCAAGCAAGCAAGCAAGCAAGCAGGAGGTTGGACTAGAAGACTTCCAAGGTCCCTTCCAACTCTACTACTACTACTACTACTACTACTACTACTACTACTACTATTATTATTATTATTATTATTATTATTATTATTATTATTATTATTATTATTATTATTGATCATCGCACAGTCAGCCAGATGTTCAGACTGGATTTGGCATTTTGTCTACCTATTGAGTCCTTACCAAGGATCTGGGATTGGCAGATGTGGATGTTGGATGGTATTACAGATATCGTCGCAGGATGGAAGCAGTTCCTAGTAAGGCCGCCTTTTGCAATTGACTAATGGCGAATTTGTCAATGCCAATGGTGTTCAAGTGGTGCTCCAGTTGTTTTGGGATTGCACCCAAGGCGCCTATTACTATTGGTACCAATTATTATTATTATTATTATTATTATTATTATTATTATTATTATTATTATTATTATTATTATTATTATTAATCTGTTTAGAACATATCCTATATCCATCACATTTCATTTACTTTTTAAATACATAGCAATTTAGTTCCCCAGCCTGGAATTAATGGTATTAAATGGCAAAAATGCTTACTTCCTGCTCAGGGAGCTAACAAGCAAGATGGGAGCTAAAGGTTTCATGCTAGGATGATATAAGATGATAGATAAATATTTTTGAATATATTTGGGATTTCTTTTTCTACTTGAACAAATTCACTTCTATTTAAGCTGCATAATTTTTTTTCCAATTAAGTCCTCAGTACATAAAAAAAAGCATTTGAAGATTTTATTTGGATAAATCTTCAAGGCTAGCTGATGTAGACTATACATCTGTAACATTAACATGCAATTTAGTTTTTGGATGTCATGCTTCTTTGCATGTTGCTGTGAACTCCCGGTTCATAAAAAAGCAGATAATTCTCAAAACTTGTCTTTCACTAAAAAAATAAAAAATAAATAAATTGGGGATCGTAAAAGTTTAGAGATATTAAATGAAACAGTATATTCAAGATTTTAAACACTTAATTTTATGCATTTTTTAAAAATTGGCCATTAATATAAAAGCATGACAAATCTAAATTCTGAATGAATATGCGTGAAACTGATGCTACCCAGAAACAGTGCTTCATTTCTAGCACAGTTAGAAATGAAGTTTTAAATTTACAGCAACCTGCCAATTCTCGAAATATAATTAGCTCCATTTCCTTTTAAGGACTCCATTTCTACAACTATTTATAGAATATGCTATTCACAGCTGAGGAATATTTGGATATCCTCCTCCTATTTGTCCACAGGGAGTCCAACAAGGGGAGGAAAGCCGAGTTAAGAGAGGAGTTTTTTTTTAATTATTATTTTTCATTACTTCCCAGAGATGTAAGTAACATTCCTAGGTGGGTGACTTAGATTTGCTTCAATAAAAAAAATCATGCTGTGGAAACAACATGATTCTCATTGTCAAAGCTCTTTGGACAGAAAACTCTTTTTGTACTTCTTCCCAGCACTGTCTGAAGCTCTTGAAGGTTGGATGGCTTAGTGCACAATAAATATTACAATACATACACAGCCAAACAACCTGGAAGATGTTTGGTGCACTCCAAGGGGTTTCCAAGCTGGGTAACCACCCTGGAAAGCAAAGCAACCCTATGAAGATTGGTCCAACCCTGAACAAGTTGGTGATGTGGTTTGTTGTTGAACCTTAGTAGCAAAGCAGAACAAACCATACTAGGCCTTAGCACGTTGAATTATAGATTCAAGATTGGAAGAAGATGGATGCAAGTGCTACTTTCCAGACTAATGAAGGTCCTGGAGACTATGATGTAAACAGCCAGTTGTAAATGGTTATGGAGACTCTTAGTCAACCAGGTCATGGTTGTCCCAAAGTTGCTTTTTCAAGAGACAACTAGACTTTCTTTGTTTTTGCTTGAATATGTTTCCCTTCTCATCCAAGAAGCTTCTTCAGTTATGAGGAAGTTCTTGGATGAGAAGCAAAATGTCTTCAAGCAAAAACCAAAAAAAGTCCAGTTGCCTTTTGAAAAAGCACCTTTGGGACAGTTAACTGCAAGCTTTCCCATTATCTGTGAAGAGACTTGCAACCTTGCCAAATCATAGGAAAGCTATTAGAAAGAAAAACCAAAATTCTTTGCCTTAATATCTATGGGGTTATAATTGACCTAAATGGAAAACAATTCAATTGCTGAAATTCTTGTAACTCTTTGCAATCTCCACAAATCTTGTTAAAGGTATTCTGTAAGTTTCTTTGAAGGAAAACAAATCATCTCTGGTTTTCATTAGCTGTCAAAATTCTTGAACAAACTGATGCAGTCTAAGACTAGAGATTCAGTTTGATGGCAAACCAGTATGAGTTGATGTACTCTGAGATTCAATTAAAAAAAAAAATCCAAGATCTTGGGGAAAAAGCATGAATTCTTTGGGCAAGATGCAGCAAAATGACCATTGTCATTTTTGATCACTGGGACTTCTGGTGAACCAAGAGGATTGACTTAGCACATAATAGGATAGCAATCTGGACCTCTTTCATTACTGTTTTTGGAAGAATTCAGTCATGTCAGGGCTGTGGTTGGCCAGCCAAAAAACTATTGGCAAGCTAGTCAGAAGCAGCAATGGAATCAGGCTGACACAATGAGATGCAATGCCAGAGATAATTGACCTTCAGTGAAACATGCAGATAAAGAGAAAATTGCATTTATAGTCTCGCTGCATTTGAAGCAGTGCATGAATACTTTAGCCTGACACCCCTTCTCTCACTGTGGAGAGCCAGCATGGTGTACAGTGGCAGTCAAGGTGCTGCTGACTAAGCCTTGGAAGATTCAGGTTTATATTCACTCTCAGCTAATTCATGGGGTGATTCTGGGCCAGTCACTCCCTTTCTCAGCCCAACCAATTTTACATGGTTGTTGTGGGGAAAAGATGGAAGAGGGGGGGCGCTATGAACATACTTTAAGAGTTGGCTTCCAATTCTGTTGGCTGGACCCAGTCCAAAGTGTAACATTCCCTTAGTATAGGAGACAGCAAATGTGGGATTCATGGTTGGCCACTCTAAAGAAGGTGAAAGTGAAAAAGAAAAAGAACCCCAAAGAAATGAAAATATTGCCATTCCTAAAAATCTATCTAAGGCAAAGGGTTAAATGAAGCATTAAACTGATTGGCTTGCTACTAATGACAGTGTCAGAAAGTCCTACTACAGGGGTCTTCAAACTTGGCCCTTTTATGACTTGTGGACTTCAACTCCCAGAATTCCTCAGCCAGGCACGCTGGCTGAGGAATTCTGGGAGTTGAAGTCCACAAGTCATAAAAGGGCCAAGTTTGAAGACCCCTGTCCTACTATAACTCAATCTCTCTAAAAATGATCCTGTTTTGAAATGAAGGCACCAACATAAGACATTGTTTATGACAACCTCAGAAGCAGTAGAAACATCACTAAATTTGCAAAGAGCTTTGACAGGATACAGAGTGCCCAA